GCTGAGGATGGTCTTGAACTCCCAATTCTTCTGCTTCTGTCTTCTGAGCTTGGAGTTAGAGGCAAGCCCCATCACACTCCATTTATGTGGTACCGGGGGTCAAACACAGGACCTCCTGCCTGCTAGGCAAGCACTCTACCCACTGAACGATCCCTGCCCCCTACAGGTCACCATACATCATTTATGGCACAGGACCAATATCAGCTCCATGAGGAGACTTGCCCTCGGCGCTGGATTAAACATGCACACGCACACGCACATGCATCTGGGACCTTTCCTACCTGTTTGCTCACCCTGGTTGACTGGTTCATCACGCTTGTCACTACCTGACATTGTAGGACACTTTATCAATAGGTTTCTATTCCCTGACATCTGCTGTTGTGAGAGTGTCAGCTATTGCCTGTTCCTCAGCCTGTGACCTAGCACAGGGCTTAGCAAGAAGAAGGCCAGCAGGCAACAGAGATTTGTCTACGACGGTGCATCATGGGTGGGGGAGGGGCCCGCAAGAGGCCCACCCCTCCCAGAGAGACTGTTGGCTGGTTGTTTGGGGGAGAAGGGTGTAATGTCTTCAGTGGTGTGATCAGGATAAATTGTTCCCACTCAGGCGAGTAACCCATATTAGACCCAACGGGTTATACACAAAAAGATTTTGTTGAGAAGGGCTCCATCGGGAAAGAGGGGGTGAGGGAGAGGAACAGAGCAGGGCAAACATGACTAAAAGTCATATTATATGGATGTATGACACTGCCAAACAACAACAACAAATTAGGCCAGGCATGGTGGAGCACTCCAGGCATGGTGGAGCACTCCTTTAATCCCAGCACTCAGGAAGCAGAGGCAGGCTAATCTCTATGAGTCCAAGGCTAACCTGGTCTACATAGTGAGTTCCAGGCTAGCCAGGGCTACAAAGTGAGACTCAGTCCCCAAATATGATTTTTTTAAGATTTATTTTTATGTGTACGAGTGTTGCCTGTATGTAAGTATGTGTACCATATGTGTGCCTAGTGCTCACAGAGGTCAGAAGAAGGCATTGGATGCCCTGAGACTGGAGTTTCAGAGGGTTGTGAGCCACCAAGGGGAGGCTGGACACTGAACCAGGTGCCCTGCAAAAGCAGACAGTGCTCCTAACCACTGAGTCGTTCTCCAGTCCCAGTTAAATAAAAAAAAAAATAAACCATTGAACAGGGGCTGGGCATACGGCTTAGTAGTGAAGAGCAAGCCAAGGGCGTACAGAGGATTGGTCCCCACCATCACACAAGGGGAAAAAGACTGAATGGATAATTAGCTCCTTGAGTCATGTTAGGAGAAAATGAGGTCATACATATTAGCTAATGCACATGAGCTAAGACTATTGTCCTTTAGCACAGTGCCTGGTGTTGCTGCTGTGGCTCATGGCCAGGCTTACTATGGGGCACTTCCTACGGAGTGTTTCACTGCAGAAAGTCTTTTTTCTTTTTTTGGTCACCCCGTCCTGCCAGAAAACCCCACCTGCAAGGCAAGCACAGTCAAAAGACTTTGGGAAGAAAGAGGAACAATTTTGACACAAATTCCAGGAGAACCAAAAACCACAGAAACCACCAAAACTAAACAGAAGGGGACATTTGTTTAACCTCTGGGAAGCTAGAATTTTAGCCTCTCATGCTGATGCTATATGGCAAAGCCGTGGAGCGTTGGGCAGCACTTGGGTCCTTGCAGTGTGGAGTGCGTGGTGTTTGACAGTGTGGAAAACTGAAGCTTGCTCTGGGTCTTGTGACGGGGCAGCATGCATGCAGCGTGGAATAGCCTGGGACGAGACTGACACCAGAAGTGCATAATGCTGGGTGGACAAGGTGTGTGCTTCCTCCTGCTGCACATTCCGAAACAAATGCCCCCCCCCCCCAAATCTCTGCATGTCAAAGCAATGTAGAGCTTTCCAGGCTCAGCAATCTGACTGTCTCCATGCATGAAGTCTTCCCAGACAGTGCTGAGCTGGAAATCACAAAGGCCCTGACACCCAGCCCACTTTCCTGGTGTCTGGAGTGTTTTGAAACATGACACTCCCCCAACTGGCGGGGATCTCTGCTTTTGTCTCCATTCTTCATTGATAAATCCTGAGGACCTAGTAAGGATTTGGGAGTGTGTGTGTGTGTGTGTGTGTGTGTGTGTGTGTGTGTGTGTGTGTGTGCATGCACGCACACACAAGGGAGATTGTATACTCTGTGTGGACTCTGCCACCGAGGGACACCCCAACCTTTAGTGGAGTTCGGGAGATTGTATACTCTGTGTGGACTCTGCCACTGAGGGACACCCCAACCTTTAGTAAGGATTACTCACTGACTAAGAGTGGATTGTGGAGCTGCAAAGACGGCACTGTGGTTAAGGGTTTGCTGCTTTTCCACAGGACACACATGGCAGACGTGTATCTGGTATCTGGGGTTCAGCCTTCAAATGATTTCGATTCCTCCTCCTCTTCTTTGTCACTCATGTAGACCAGGCTGCCCTCAAATTCGCTCACTATTTAGCTGAGAAAAATCTTGAACTCCTGATCCTCCTGGGGCTATAGGAGTCATCATGCCTGTCTCCAGCTCACTCCTTAGATACCAGGAAATGGTTACCACAAGGAATGTTCACTCCACCTCACAGCTCATTCTCACAGCACATTTTATACCTCTGTGATTTCTTTCCGTAGTGGGACTATAAATTTCATGAGTGCAAAGACTGTGTCTGTCTGTCTGTCTGTCTGTCTGAATCACCTCTGTATCCCCAGACCCAAGATGCTGCCTGGATTCAGCAGCTGTTCAATAAATGCCTGCTGAATGAATGGAGGAGTTAAAGTTTACATACACAGAGAGAGAGACAGAGACAGACAGACACACACAGAGAAAGAGAGACAGACAGACAGACAGGTAGACACACACAGGCAGAAACACACACACACAGTCCTAGCATGCTGCCTGGATATAGTATCTGCTCATTAAATAGCTGTTGAATGAATGGAGGAGTTAAATTACACACACATACACACAAAGTCACCACCCCATGGAGTCTGATGTAGCTAAAATATACACACAAAGTAACAAGAGAGTGTTAAAAAGGGATATGCTCCCCGGAGGTGGAGTTTCTGTGTCCAAGGATTAGGGTATGAGCCATCCTGCGCTTCCTGCTTCTCTTGAAATCCCTCAGAGGGAAGTCCAGGAGAGAGAAGATGGATTAATTTTCAATAAGATTCCAGGGATACCGAGAACCACAATAGTCAGTCATGGTGTTGGGATGGAGCAGGGCAATGCCTAAGGTTACTCTGGCTCAAAACCTAAAATAGAATTTTAGAGAGGAAAAAAAAAAATCAAGGTCTGTAACCTGGAGCTTAACACTGTTTTTTGTTTTGGTTTGGCTTGGTTTTTTGAGACAGGGTTTCTCTGTGTAACAGTCCTGGCTGTCCTGGAACTCGATTTGTAGACCAGGCTGGCCTTGAACTCACAGAGATCCACTTGCCTCTACTTCCGGAGTGCTGGGATTAAACATGTGTGCCATCTGATTTACAGGTGTCTTTTAGATTGCCATTCCAAGTTATGTTTTTTAGTAATGAAGCAAGTGTTACAAAGGCTGAAACTGAGCTTGGGTTCCCTCTGGGTTACATTTTCTGGGCAATTAGGCAGATTCACAGAGGCAGGTGACAGCCTTAGTTATCTCCAGGTTATATTTTTCTGTGTGATTATGTAAGTCCACACTCTCAGTTATCCTTAAACAAACAGCTTTGCTCTTGGAGCAGCTTAAGGCCCAGGGTCACTTTCTCAAGCAGGTTAGCAAATTTTGGCTTCTTCAGGTAAGAGGAGGCTTTCCAATGAGCAACAGCGCCAAGGAGCAAAGGAAACTTAGATTTCAACTAACTCAGAAGTGTAACTCTATTTCCTTATCGTCCTAAATTGTCTAGGCAAAGCTAGTTTGTAAGCTATGTTTGAATAAGAATTGGCTCAGAGTCTCTGAGTTTAATTCCTTATTTAATATCTCGGAGGAAGTTTTTTTAATTCAACTATTCTCTTTATAATCCAATCAGTGTTAAAGCTTGTCAGTGTTTCCTTTCACCTTCATCAATGAAGCCCTGGGTGTGATCCACATAAATCACACACAGTGGTGCACGCCTGTGGTCCCAGCTCCTCCCCTACATAGTGAGTTCCAGGCCAGCAAGAGACACATTAAGACCCTGTCAAACACCAAGAACAACATATGCCCAAGTGAGGTACTTAGGGATTCTCCTTCCCTGAAGAATGGTGCTGGCCCAGCTTGTGCAGGCAGTTCGCCAAGGCTGAGTCACTTAAGGGATCTATCTACACCTTCTGTAGGGAGGAGACCCGTTCTCCACCGTTCCACTCACTGGAGTGTGCTATACCAGTTACACACGCAAAATATAGGACAAACTGAGCTGGTTCAGAATGAGGTCACCGCAGGATTATACCGTTGGCGGTGCTTTTCGTGGGCTGCATGCGTGAGCCCTAGCTAAGAATCACAGGCTCCATCTCAGACTTCTGAAATCCAGGTCTGCAATTTAACGTCTTTCCCAAGTGATAGGCATGCACATTCGTGTTTGAAAAAGGGGGTCGGTTGAAGGGCAGGGATGGAAATGGGGCAAAAGTCAAGGAGGAGCCAAAATGGACAGGAGTTGACTTCAGCTAAGAACTCTGAATGTAGGCATAACAACACAGGAGGTTCTGAATCGTTAAATTCTCGGCCATTTAAAAAAAAAAAAAGTGAGACTCAAACTCAGGGCCTTCACGCATGCTTGGCCAAACTCTCCACCTCCACTCCATTTTCTTCAGTCCAAGTTTCCCATTCTTGGTCTTCTTTGACATTTTGAACAAACCAGTCAGCCAGATCTTTGTCTGGTTCGGTTCGATCTGGCCTGATTCTATTGCTTAGGTCTAGTCCGGTTGCTAAGGTACGGAGCTTCACGGTTGCTGGGGAAATGACGTCACCTGGTGGGCGGGCTAAGCAGCGTCTCCGTCCTCCCGATTGGTCGGCATGTTGGGGCTTAGCTTCGCAGTCTGGTGGGCGCCACGGCTGCTTGCCAGACTCCGCTGCTCGCTCCCGGGCTCGTCCCCAGGCCTCGGGACTGCACTCAGCGAAGGAGACGTGACTCAGGCCGCCCTCCCAGGCTTTTTGGCCTCTCAGGTACTTTTTTGACTCAGCCAAATGCCGGGAGTTGGGACGGCTACCCGAACCGTGGGGAAGTACGGAAATGATAGTTCTAAACTGAAATCTGGGTGGACGCTAGCTTTGGAAAAGGGGGGGGGGGGGGGAGAAAGAAAAAGAAAAGGAAGAAAGAAAAACTTTTAGGACTGGGTGCCCTGGTCTCAAAAGAATGACGAGGAGTCCTAACTAGGAATCCGGGTATTTGCATTGTTTCTTTTTTTGTTTGGCTTTGTTTTTTTTCAGGTATGAACTACACTTGATCCATCACTTTCCAGGCAAAACTGTTCCTTTATCTACTGTTGAAGGGATCAGGGGGTGATGGAGACATCACCTGTCAGCCCAGTGAAAGAGAAGGACACCGCGCAACCGCGGCCACGGGAAGAGAATGCCCAGCAAAACCTGGATGCGGCCGTCCAGTTTAGGCAGCAGGCCCCAGGCCCCTCCCCTGAGGCCCTGAAGCTGGGAGTGAGACCCGATCCAGCCCGTCGAATTGTAGAGAATCAGGAGGTTGAAAACCCGGTGGCTGGACTTGAAGGTGACGCTGATAAATCTCACGTCTCCGCCGATGAGGTGGCAGAGCCTCTCCGAGCTTCTGATCTTTGGTACTGCCCTGATGGGAGTTTTGTAAAGAAGATCATAGTTCGTGGCCGTGGCTTAGACAAACCCAAACTCGGCTCCCAGTGCCGAGTGTTGGCTTCGGGGTTTCCTTTTGGGTCTGGGATGCCAGAGGGCTGGACTGAACTAACCATAGGCATTGGGCAATGGAGGGAAAAAACTTGGGGAGAACTCACAGAAAAATGCCTGGAGTCCATGTGTCAAGGCGAGGAAGCGGAGATTCATCTTCCTGGGTCCTCTGCGCCTCTTGCCAAGCTCAGACTGGATTCCTTCACTAAGGGTCGGGATTCCTGGGAGTTGGAGGCTATGGAGAAGGAGGCCCTGGCCAGTGAAGAGCACTCCAGGGGTACAGAACTGTTTCGAGCCGGCAATCCTCAGGGGGCTGCCCGATGCTATGGACGGGCTCTCCGGCTGCTGCTGACCTTACCCCCACCCGGACCCCCAGAACAAGCGATCCTCTACGCCAATCTGGCCGCCTGCCAGTTGCTGCTAGGGCAGCCCCAGTTGGCCGCCCAGAGCTGTGACCGCGCGCTGGAGCGGGAGCCGGGCCATTTAAAAGCCCTGTACCGAAGAGGGGTTGCTCAGGCTGCCCTGGGGAACTTGGAGAAAGCAACTGCTGACCTCAAGAAAGTGCTAGCCGCTGACCCCAAAAACCGTGCAGCCCAAGAGGAGCTGGGCAAAGTGGTCATTCAGGGAAAGAAACAGGATGCTGGGCTGGCGCGGGGTCTTCGAAAGATGTTCAGCTGATTAAAAAGTTAGACTTTAAAAGAGACGGGGACCCGTGAATTGTGTTCTGTGTTGTGGGACTTTTAAGGGCCCCAAAGGAGTTTCCGTTCATACCCTAGTCTCACCTATGGGGCGTTAGCAATGGTGTCAGTGAGCCACTTGGGGGTGAGGTGGCTTATCCACCTCTTAAAATCTGTGTATTTATTATGTGTATATATGCCTTTATGTACCTGGGGATGTCAGAGGGATTTGCATTCCCTGGAGCTGGAGTTACAGATGGTTGTGAGTCACCTGGTGTGGGTGCTGGGAATGGAATCCAGGTCCAGGTCCTTCCAAGAGCAGTAATCAATCAATCTAATCAATCAATCTCTCCCTCCCTCTCTCTCTCTCTCTCTCTCTCTCTCTCTCTCTCTTTCTCTCTCTCTGAGACAGGGTTTCTTTGTGTACCCCTGGCTGTCCTGGAACTCGCTCTGTAGACCAGGTTGGCTTTGAACTCGGAAATGCTCCTGTCTCTGCCTGGGATTAAAGGCGTGCGCCGCCAGCGCCGCCGCCGCCACCACCCCCCCACCCCCACCCCCACCACCCCCCCCCCCTCAATAAGCCCTCTTGACCTGCTGAGTTTTCACTCCGTCCTACATACTGGACCTTGATTGTTTTGATAGACCCCAGACTCAGGGCACTATCCTCAGGTGGGCGCCCCAGAAACCCGGATTCCAGACCAGTTGCTGCAATCACGTGAGGCTTTATTTTAATCGTTTGCGCAAACGGACCCCCCTACACAATTCAGTGAGAGGAGCCCCGAACAATAATTGCAGGCATCTTTTAAAGGCAAAAACCATAATATTAGCATAGCATTCGGGGCAATACATAATTGGCTAGTTTAAAAATCAGTACCGGGGAGGGGTGTGATTACGTGTGCATTTGTGCCTTCATGAGTTTATGGGCAACACATGGGTGCAGATGTCTGAGGAAAACCGCTGAGTCCTCAGTCCAGTCCAGATGCTGGAACTTTAAGTGCTAGGAACTACATTTCCCAAAAGGCTGTTCTCTGGGGGCTCTACGGCGCGTGCGCAGTTCCGCCAGGACGAGTGGAGTGGACCGCTGCTGTGTTCCCATTGGCCCAACGTGTACAGTCACTGCTCCTTCGTGTCATGTGCTTAGCACTTAAGCCTCTGACTGGTCAGGAAGACTTCCGGGATGCCCGGTTTTCTTCAGCGAGCCCATTGATTTGCCGAGGCCCGGGAGAGGCGGGCCCGGGAGCCGGCTCATGGTGGGGGGTGGGGGGGAAGATGGCGGAGCTGATGCTCCTCAGCGAGATCGCCGACCCGACGCGCTTCTTCACCGACAACCTGCTGAGCCCGGAGGACTGGGGTGTGCAGAGTGAGGCCCGGGGGGAGGGAGCGCGCTGGGGCCGGCCGTGGGCCCGCGGCACGCGGGAAGGCGGCAGAGGGTGAAAGAGGAAGGCTGGGCGGACGCCGAGCGCATCGTCTGGGGGAGCGCGCAGCGGGGCCCGTGCTTTCCCGGGATGCGGCAGGAGGGGAGATCAGGTCCTCCCGCGGGAGCACGGGGCTGCCCCGGGGTCAGGGGAGAGGGGCCGACTCCTTAGGGTGACTGGCTCTGCGAGTGGGCGGGCGGTGGGTCTGGCCCGGCCGAGCCAATGAGGGATGGAGCCGGGGCGGGCTGGAGCCGGGGCGGGCGTGCGATCCTCCTGACACCCGGGCCTCCTTGCAGACAGCACCTTGTACAGTGGCCTGGAGGAAGTGGCCGAGGAGCAGACGCAGTTATTCCGTTGCGTGGAGCAGGATGTCCCGGTATTGCTACCTCAGCGTTTCTCCTATGACCCTTGGTGGTGGTGGGGGGGGGACCCCAAACCCGGAGTCATCTCCAAGCCAGAGCTCAGCCGAGAGACACCCCTGCTTTTGTTAAACTGCGAGGAGAAAGACGCGTTTCACCACTGTCTAACTGGAGCAAGCTTTATTCTAGAGGTGCACCCGGACTGGCCAGCCCGCTGTCTCACCCTAAGTCGGGATTTTGAGAGCAGCCTCTTCTGGACTTTTGAGGTCCCTTTTATGGGGGAAAGATTAAAAGATTAACAGCTATAAGCGTCTTTACAGGTGCGAGAGAATTATTTGTTAGATATTGTTAGGAAAAAAATACAAGTATTTTTGTAAAGTGTGGGTACTCAACACAAGGGGCTTCTTAATTTGCAAGGTATCTTGCTCCTCTTTTGGGCTCACACTTTCTCACTTTCCTGCCCTCTAATATGCACCATCGCTTAGTTTGACAGCAGCTCTCTGGATGTGGGGATGGATGTCAGCCCCCCTGAGCCCCCTTGGGACCCTCTACCTATCTTCCCAGGTAAGGGACCCTTAGTATCCCCTCATCTTTCTCCGCTGCATCCTTGAGTGCACACACTCTACACAGGTGTCTGTACTCCACTCTTCCATCCCATGTGCGTGTGCGTGTGCGTGTGCGTGTGCGTGTGCGTGTGGTCCATCCTCGCTCTCCTGCCCCCACCGCCAGCACCGCTCTTCGGACAGCTCCAGCTTTGCTTCCTGGTTACTTGTTTTTGCAGTATTCGCTTAGTGCGAGCAAGATGGGCCTTTGACACGGAGCTGTATTCCCAGTCCTTCCTGGTTGTTTCCTAACTTTTGTCTTCCAGATCTTCAGGTGAAGTCTGAGCCGTCCTCTCCCTGCTCTTCCTCCTCCCTCAGCTCAGAGTCATCGCATCTTTCCACAGAGCCCTCCAGCCAGGTGAGAGCCGTGCCCTCTGGTTCTCTGTGGCAGGAGTTGCGCTCCGTTGGCTGCACTTCTGGGTGCTGAGGTTCTGTTTGTACGCTGTGAGTCCTGAAGTGAGTGGGAGTTTCTTCTCAGTCATGATACCTCGTTTTCTGTACGTCCACTCTGGTGTGTAGAAGGGAGATGGGCCTTTTCAGTGTGCAGAGAGATGGCAGTGGTAAGGAAAACAGCGTTGGTACCGGCTGAGAATTCTCAGACTGCTCTTACCCCGGTTGGCCACTGTGATGTGATATTTGCAATCTTGAGATTTTCGTTGACTCTCCTGAGAAGAAAATAGAAAGAAGGAACAAAGAGCCGGAGAGCCTGGGTAGTCTCAGGACTGGTCCGACCACGGTCAGATAAGCGGAGGTTTGTAGCGCTCAGGCCTCTGTTCTCACTCTGACCCTCAGCACCCCTCTGGCTGTCTTTGCTTCTGTTTCCCCCTCCCTGCTGCACCCTATCTCTCACAGGTTCCTGGAGTGGGGGAGGTGCTGAATGTGAAGACAGAGTCCTTAGCGCCCCCACTCTGCCTGCTGGGAGATGATCCAGCATCCCCATTTGAAACAGTCCAAATCACCGTGGGCTCTGCCTCTGATGATCCCTCAGGTAATCACACCTTGTCACACCCCCACTGGGGGGCTGGAGGGATGGCTCAGGGGCCTAGCATTTGTTCCTGTGGGGGATTAGCAAGTTGCAGAGATTTAACAAGGTTGGGAGGTTCCGAGGTAGCTGAAGCTTTGTGATGTGTCAGTCCGAAGAGAGCTTGTGTGAGGTGAGAGGCAGTGAGTCTTCAGGGCTGGTTAAGTTGGAATGCATGGGGGACATGAGAATGGAGGTGACAGAAAACAGTTCAGGATGGGAGTCAGGAGCTGGTCACGTGGAGATGAAGACATGGTCACTGTCAACAAGAAAGTGCATTGGTTGCGGAGGTTAGAATTGGGTAGGAGCAGGCTGGAGGGATGGCACAGTGGTTAAGAGCACTGGCTGCTCTTCCAGAGGACCCAGGTTCGATTCCCAGCACCCACATGGTGGCTCACAACTGTCTGTAACTCTAGTTCCAGGGGATACAAGGCCCTCTTCTGGCTTCATGCACTTACGAATGCTCATGCACATAAAATAAAAATCTTAGGAAGAAGAATTGCATAGGAATGTGAGTCCTGTGATTGCAGAGCCTGCCCTTGCTCAGGGCTCTTGCCCATGGACAGACAGTCTGTGAAGAAGGAATAGGAACTAGCAGATGGGTGAGATGGCCTTGAGGAATACTGGCAGCTGTGGGTGTGAGACGTTAGGGAAGCCACTGAAATAGAAGGGAAAGTCCTGGTGGGTGGGGAGCTAGACACTCTTCTCATGGCTCCTCCTTCAGGGACTCCTGAGTCCAGGTAAAGGAGAAGCGACCCTTTGCTCCTTTCCTTTTCAGTATTTTTCTGGTAGCCAGCCTCTTCTTTTTAAAAAAAAAAAAGATTTATTTTGGATGTATGAGCATTTTGCCTTCATGTGCACCATGTGTGTGCCTGATGCCTCCAGAAGTCAGGAGAGGGCGTCAGATCCCCTGGAGTTACTGACAGTCGTCCTGGGAATGGTCCTCTGCAGGTGCAGCAGGTTCTCTACTGCTGAGCATCTCTCCAGCCCCTGATAGCCAGCTCTTGTATCTTCCTGCCCCCACAGATATCCAGACCAAGGTAGAACCTGCCTCCCCATCTTCTTCTGTCAACTCGGAGGCCTCCCTGCTCTCAGCAGACTCCCCCAGCCAGGTGCACACATTCCTCTCTTCTGCAGCCCCAGCCCTCCCCCAGGGGTTCCCACGACCCCCCACTCCATACCTGACTCTCCCAGCTAATATCTCTGGACTGCCCTGCGTAGGCTTTCGTAGGAGAGGAGGTTCTGGAAGTGAAGACGGAGTCCCCGTCCCCTCCGGGGTGCCTCCTGTGGGATGTCCCAGCCCCTTCACTTGGAGCTGTCCAGATCAGCATGGGTCCATCCCCTGATAGTTCCTCAGGTAATGGGGCCTCCTGACCCTGGGGTCCCCGGCGACAGGCCTTACAGTGTCGTAATTCCTTCCTTCCTCTCATCTTCCCTCAGGGAAAGCTCCGGCCGCTCGGAAGCCTCCACTGCAGCCCAAACCTGTGGTGCTAACCACAGTTCAGGTGCCACCTCGGGCCGGGCCTCCCAACACTACCGTCCTTTTGCAGCCCCTCGTCCAGCAGCCCGCAGGTGTGGAAGGTGGAGAGGGGACCTTGTCAGCGAGCTCGCTGCCACTGAGGTCCCTGA